ATTAAATTGGATTTCGTCCGTCAGGAACGCCATAATATATACACACACATATTGTGTATAGAATGTATAAACGTGTGTGTGTGTGTGTGTGTGTGCACAAAGTATTATAAAGGTACTATACTATTACTAAGGATACTCGCGGTATATTCTCTCTCCCCGGATGGAAAGGTTAATTTGACATGCGTTGCCCGCGCGCCATCCGTACCGACAAAAAGCACTAAACAAAAAAGCAATCGTAAAACGTTTTCGCAAAACTTTCGGAAAAGACGTAGGTATTATAAAATATAAAAATAACCGACCTCCTACTGATGTACATATTAGTGTATACTGTGCGATATACGACAAACACTTATTATCTTGTCCATTTTTTGAGTTTTTAATTAATTATTTTTTTTTTTTACGAACTCATACTTAGATATTTTATTTCGCTATTTAAAACAATTAAAACTATGTTTAAACTTAAAAATTTCATAGAGCACACATTGTTATACCCTATGAAATGTTTTACTATAGATAATTAAAATTTAAATTGATAATAAAAAACACACATTTAAAATGTTCAAAAAGGTATGCAGTTTTAAATTTAATAGTTGAATAATATAATGTCATAAAAAATTAGATTTCTTAGAAAAATACAATAATTATACATGACAAGTATTCGCACGAACAAAAACAAATATACACTGCAGTTTACAAGCATTTACTTTAAAATAAGTTTAAGTTCAGGGTGTTATCATTACAACAAACATTCTGCACAAATAAGGAAACTTTCTCAATAACGACGGTGTGTCGAAGTATATCTTTTAAATTTATTTTATATATATATATATAGGTATCTACAGTCTACTCTATCTACACTATCGTGAAACCGCACAACTCAACMATGGATGACGTTATGACTGTGGCTGCCTTTCATGACCATCAAACTTAAGTTATATATTTTATGGTTCTTGGGAAATATGGTTGAATAGTTTTGTAGTTCCTGGTATGCTCGTACTTTACGTCGTAATGACGTRCAAAAACCAAAATCACTTTGCAAGATTGCAGTTTGCAGCGTTTGACATTTAAAACTCATCGCTGCAGGTCACAGCTATAGTCGTAATTATGTGCACAAGTAACACGCAAATCCTACATAATACTGTCAATACTCAATACTCATTGCATTCAACACTTATACTGCAAGAGTATTAYTATATAATAGTACATCATGGATGCACTCAAATATGAAATAACAAGTGCGTTAACCAACCCGGTGTACATACCTATTTCATATTTCATAATATAATAATATAATATGTGCAAAAATATTTGAAAACATATACGCCGTGCATAACTACAGTATACATTTTATGTCCTCGTATAATATAAAATTGTTCCAAAATTTTCAAATATTCCATTACACGCCGCTGCGTAAAAATATACCTCAGCAGCGATGGTTTAAATTTTTGTATTTTTTTCCACCTCAACAAGACGCCTTACAAGAGAATTACACTCATACGTATATATATATATAAGCAATCCTTTAACGAGAAACCCAACTGAGAAGACATCGTTAGCAAAGCCAGCTCCACCTTTTTCACCGCTATTAACGGACAAAACGTTTACAAAACCATGTGCGCAAATCGATAACGTCTATAAATAAGCTTTATTTGGATTCATCCTTTTTCCTTATTTACCCCTACCGATATATATATATATATATATACATAATTCACACCGAAGAAAAACGGAAATAGCTCGTCATTTATCAAGATATTAATGGAATTAAACTCTATCCGACGACAGTGTATAGTATTTTTTTTTAGCGAAACGCTTGAAACTCGTTAACAGGTTAAAATGGTATATACGTAGTTATAGTAGGCGATATATACCTACTCTTACACAAATACACTAAAATATAATATATTAAATAAGAGTGGAGGTACTATATTAACACTAAGAACTGCAAATAAAAGTATGTAATAGGTATGTAAAACTTGTTCGAACACCGAAGCTTGTCAGAGCAGCAGAAGCGGACAAATATTTTGGTTTTAACATATTTGAAAAATATATTATATTATTACACAATTTATTGAGCGTATACGTGCCTATATAAATTAAAYCGCAGTACATTATATGGTTTCTCAGCCCGAGTATGAGGTGTGTTATAAAATGATTATTCCGATGAACACCAGGCAAAAACAGAACAACGTAATTCGGTTTACTCTAGAATTTCACGAGAACACCAACACAATAGATCTCAGATCTCAGTCGTGTATGGCTGCACGTAGTGGTAGATATAATAATATAATAAGATATAATTGTAATTATTTTGCAGCAATTATGCACTATGATAAATTATATAAATTTAATATGTACCTATGCACGCATAGAGGTTAGRCAAGAGGTCACTTGCCAGAATAAAATATGATCGAAAAACTCGTAAAAAATCGCAATTGATGGATAATAATCAATATTAATTGACCCGACAAATGTTTAAATACACRGCGGCAATTTTGTAATTGATATTGTATCTGTTATTATTTTATTATTCACGGGTAGATGAACAAACTGAGCCAAATGATAGTGTGGAATCGATCAGTGRCAACACTATAATATTATACCAATCGAAGCGTTAAATCTCCWAAGATAATAATATTTACAGTTTAATATTGTGGTAACAAAGAATATAATATTATTAATTATAATAAACTTTTATACAGAATTACAGCGTTATAGATTTTTATTTAAATGCGTCGAATAACACATCACAATTTCTATTACAAAGTTCACATGACTACACCATAAGACCCTATACAGACAACAGATGCAATCYGGAAGAGAAAAAATTGGCAACATAGTTCCTTCTCCGGTCCTCGATACCATAGAAGAAAAAAAAGACAACAGATGCAACAAATAATATCATTTCAAATACACACACACACGCATATGCATGCATATATTATATACATACAGGTTGTACAAACGAAAGGCACCTAAAGGCATTTCTTGACAATTTTTTMTCTACATATTTTTGTTGTTCTCGCCGACTGCAAACAAGCGGCGCCCAAGTATAAACATACGACGYKAATAATACGCGCATTATAGATATATGAGCACTTGAGAGAAAACTATATGCTTTTCCTCGATACGTAAGACGTCGAGAGCACGCCGCCGAGGAGGATTTACAGCCTAGAAAGTTATATTATTCCGGTCGACTGGGCAGTCTCGCCTGGTCGTAGAAAATAAAGACTGTCGAAACAAGGGTTTTTTTTATTTTTATTTATTTTTTCGTCTCTTTTATTATTCGCCTTCTGCACTTCCGGAACAATACTCCTATTTACCCATGCATTGTACGCGTATATAAACGTGTGTTCTTTGTGATCCATCAGGGTCGAAGTAAAAACAGCATAAAAAAAAAAAAATACCGAACGTACGAACGTCGCGAATAAACGTTTGGACGGACGGCAGCGTGACGTCGATGGTAACCTATACGTGTATACTGTATATGTATATATAAACAAAATAGAAGGGCGTGAAATATCGTGATTTCCTACAATCTCGCATTTATCTTGTCACCCTTTTTTTCCCTAAGTCGAGCACGCCGTATACGGTGTAGGTATATATATGAGTATTGTATACGTAGGTRCAATGTGTATATATATTTCGATCGACTGCTAGAGCAGTATAGTACCTACTGGCTATACGATTGTATACAACACTATCAGACAAAACCTCACACGCGAACGCATGAAAAAATATAATTATTATTATTATTATTGTTGTTGTTGTTGTTGTGGTTGTTATTATTTGCCGTCGAAGCTTTGGCGGAGWGTAGATATGCCGTGACACTATAATAGTATGTACAAACGCCACCCGCACACACCCTTCGAGGGTCGCGCAAACGCCAATATACGCATGCCACCGCATGCACATACACTGGGGTGTGATCAATTTAAAAGGGTACAACTACACACCGCACGGTGAATGTCAATACCGTGAGAAATGCGCGTGCGGATCGTTAATCTTTCATTAAATTTCGGTATATGCACGACAAGCACGTATTATACGACACGACGACTATACACCTACCTCTGCTGCAGCAGCAACTACTGCAGAAAGAGGAAATTGAATTGAACAAAAATACAAGAGAAAACGTGTCCGAAACTCAGGCGCACATTATTGCCGTTGAACACATAAAATGTAGAAACAACACAAAACTGGAACGTTCTGAATTTATTAAGCACGCCACAGCATGCATAATACAATATTTTACGTACGACTTTTGGCCGACCAAACGTTTTAGCGCAATGCTGCGTATTTTATACTTGAAATTGTTATATTTTTATGAAGTGTCCGAATAAGGCTGTCATTACAAAAATTACAAAAATTATTCCATCGCCGACGTAGAAACGCCAAAAATAATTAATGAAATTGCATTATTTAATATACGCTTTATAATATATCACTATAAAGTATTAATTATTAATCATTATAAATAATTATATATTCATTATCTTTTTTTTTTTTTTTAAGAAGAATAAAGGACCGTATAATTAGCATAACAAATTTTTCTCGCAAATTATATTTAATAAATTAAAACCAATTACGACGTTTGAAAACTTCTAAACTCTAAAGAAGCATAACGACAAAAATATTACACTTTACAAATGACAAGTTTGTAACTCTACAGAAAGTTGTGACGCATATCTTATAATCTGTAAGAACTCGGCGGTTTAATGCTCTTATATAAACATTATGACGGGCTCTAMAGTCAGACAAAGTCGTGTAGCCGAAAACCCATTTTAAAAGATTATAAAAACAGCAAAAACTATTGTTAAATCACATTWCCTACCCACACCACCGCCGTATGTAAACATACAATATACAATAGCAACGAAATGGCTSGTTCAAAAATGACTATAGACTGAGTATATAATATATATMTWMYWTWMMTATWATATACCTATAATATACCTAATAATTGTATCGGCGATACAATATGATAAAAATGTTCTTACCTGATTTTTGCCTTTGAGTACGAGCACGTTGGTAACTTTTCCGAACGGAATRCCCAGATGTATGACCTCGGCTTCGGTGACTTCATTGGGTATGTTGCGTATGTGTATTACCCGAGATGGCTTGTTGTTGGCGGTTTTGTCGAGTTTGACCTGAAATTTTTTTTATATATTATTAGAACACAGGTCTGCAAAAAGGGCAGTCGGACGGACGATGGGATTTCGGGGCTCACGCCAGCCGCACGCACTGGGTTTGGCTATACCGTGGACCGCAGACAAACGACCGGGTGAATTCAATTTGCGGCCTAAGTGTGAGGCGTCGGAAGGGTGAACGAGATGAGGCCGGTTGTTGAGCTATTATTTACCGCATTACTCTAGGATAGAATAAATGAATACAAATCTATTGCAAAGCGCGTAAGTCGAGTAATTTCGGGTAGTAACCGGACGCAGTATAAGGACCTACATTATAACTGTACACGGCTCGTATAATCGAATCGTTTTGTACAGATAATCATGGTATAGGTAAAACCTCTTCGTACCGATAAATTCGAAATTCAGATTTCAAAAACAATTTCTCGAATTTTGAACATATACTATTGTACATAATGATCACCTATGATCGTTTGAAATCATACACGTAAAATTTCCAATCATCCATATAATATGCATAAACAAACAAAAGCTTGAGCATTAGCAGAATATTGTATCAAAGGGAACATAATATGGCGCAAGAGATTATTTTATATAACAATAATAATGTAACGAAACATTTACGTAAATATAGATAATAGTGCAACCTTTATATTAAAATTAAATAAAAGCTACATAYAGAAAAACTATTATTTTTATAATACTTATAAAAGTTGATCCTAAATGCGAAATTCCGTAAAACAATGATTTTCTAATATATTGCATTTTTGATATCATACATGCCTTTGAGAATGTTACTGGAAATGTTTTTAGAGAAATATTTAAGGTTGAATGTTCGACTAAATGAGGTTTTACACAATTAATGCAAAATTCGCGTTTACTTTAATGCATGGGAAAGATGCTTATGTTTTCTTTAACAATAGTATATCATGTATTATATTAAATAGTAGTCATAAATTTATCTTGAMAAAAAAAAAGAAATATTTGAATAATCGAATAAAATATTGGGGACTGGGTAAGAGAATATTGTTCACAAAAACTAAAAAAAAAAATMGCTGAAATTGCCGTCATTCATCGGGTCCCGTGGAGTATGATCCGGGATGGCTGGTTATTAAAGTTTTCGGACGCTTCGGTAAGAACAATGTTTTTCCGAGCGTCAACCCATGTGTAGACATGTATAAACCGCCCTGCAGGGTTTAAAAGTTTCTTTCAAATATTAAAATTAATTTAAGTTTCTTTTATACCCGTTTCATAAGCCCCTTATTATAACTCTTTTCTCATAATAGCTTACAGTACACATTGTCAAGCGAAGATAATTTTTCCGTCGCTCTCGGTCCACTGCAGGTATATCATTAGCGTTTGTCTTTTTCGAGACCGCTGAGTAGCGTCACCACTAAACGACTGCTGCAGCGTGTACCATCATTAGATTCGTCGTACTTAATATATGTTCGTATGATAAATCGTTGATGAAATGATTGATGCGTAATAGAGAACATAGTAATATAAAAACACGTATACAACGACCGTTTTGTATGCAACGATCGAATTTCTTAACGACGGTTATAATTAATAACGGCGATTTCTGTAATCATGGAAGTAATTAAATATTCGCGGACTATTTTAAAATCGAATTACATACATTTATTATGCGACGCATAAGCGAACGTAAATATTATAGAAAACATATATATATATATACATGTAAGCTATAGAGGTATATGATAATTTTATTATATAATATAAAAAAACACGAGCTTTATACAGCGAGGGCTGAAAAGAAAAAACCTTTATATTTAATTACAGAGTATTTAAATAATATTTTATGCATAATACTTTATAATTATTTGTTGGTATTTTTTCCTAAGAAAAAATAAATGTTTTCAAGGCACTATACATTAACAGGGCACAAACACAGAATATAAARAGAATGGACTAATTATATGCGGGCAGCGCAAGCTTGTTTCAAATTTAAAATAAAAACCTACTTAATTTATACGCATTATTATAGTGGGGAAAACATTTCAGTAAATATCTTCTTTTTTTTAACAGATAAACTTTTAAAGCAAAATTTAAAAAATATCAGATGTTTGTTATCCATAAAAAAATAAAACTGGTAGGTATTCGAAAAAAAATTTAAAAACGCAAATTCAAAATTATAGACTTTTAGAAATAGTATGGTCGTGTTGATGTAATAAAGAGAAAATCCTAGATATGTTTAAATAAGCAAAACAAATTAAAGCTACTCTGAGTATATGAATTCTGCTGGAGGTTGACTTGCGGTATGCCGGAAGCAGAATCGTTCCATCCAAACGGCCTTTAAAATTGAACTTTACAAACGTGCGCGCGATTTCCAAAGGCGACTCAAAGCAAACAAAAACGGGCCGGGACGGCAACGACGACGAGTTTTATCAATTGCTGTAAGTAAGACGAATTAATATCGTACCGAGAGATTGAGTCAACAGAGAAACACACTATACGAATATACATAGTTATAGTTATATGCACACTAGCCTGCAGGATTCTTCTTCACTGCGCCTCGGCGGAAAAAAGTGGGTAGGGTAGGGTAGGAGAGTGGGTACCCGTCTGTCTCTCGTTCCCAATTATCTCGGTTGTATTACCATCATCATCATCACCATAATGCTTTTAAACTCCTCTTCACAGTGACCTGCTGAAGTAATGCCTGCCGAAACTTTACGTCTGATGCCTACCATTCCTCGCCATTGCTGCTGTTCACCACTCAAGCCGTATCTTTTCTTGCACGAACACAAGACACAAGTGCAGCGCGCTCCTCCCAGTGTAATTAATAATTCAACCGTGAACTCCTTTCAAATTATCCGGAGTGTTTAGCGCGCGAGCTAAATTACTACCACTACTATACACACTATTGCTACTATATACTACTACACACACACACACACACACACACACTTAAATATATGCGTAGCAAAAGTAGAGGGACCTGCGGAGGATTTTTTAAAACTTTTTATTCATCCGTCCAACACCCTCAGTAGCTCGAAGTAGCGTATAATTATTATTGTCCACTTATTGCGTGTTCTTTTTTTCCTTTTTAATTGTTCTCGCCGCCAACTCTATGAATGTATATATATTATACTGGACGGATTTCTCGCCCACCCTCGGCGTAACATCAACCACAAAATTGAATTAAAGGTGCCCGCACCTGATGAGAACCGCAACGGCGGCGGACAAAATCCAACCACATCGTATATATATATATATTATATATAATATCACATGTATAGTATATACTATGCACCATATACTATTACACGACGGGATGTATAATAAGGTCGACTATATATAGGTCGTTGTAGGAGGAAGAAAGCGTTGGAAATGTATATTATATATATACATATATAGTGAAATTTATAAATCCTTCACGTCTCGTAATAATAATGTGAGCGGCCCTCGAATACTGCCGCCACCACGTGGAGGAGATATACATTATTTCGGATTTCGTATGCAATTTTTTTCGCGCCTGTTAAAAATGAAAAATCGTAGTCAGCCGCAGAGCTCAGCAGTATAACGAGCAAAACGGGACACTCGGGTAGGTATATATCGAACTTTTCTTTTTATGTATGTATATACATGTACATATATAACTACCCCCACGCCCGAAAGCGTTCAACCATCAAATTCGGTTTGAACGCAAGTACGTCACGTCCACCCTCCACTTCGGCCATCACCCTTCCCACTGTACATAATAATATATATACTAGGTACCATATTCAAACATTATTATGGCCTCGGCGTAGGAAATTTAATAAAGAAGAATAATATATTTTAAACACTGACTGGAAAACGATGTTATTAAAAATTTTCACTTTATACCTATAATATATACTATGTAACATGTATAATATATAATTTATATATATATTCTACAATATTTACAACACCTTAACCACGAGTCGGACATTTTTCTTTGGTCCTTGCYTGTAGTACTAGTTCCACACGTCCGTCCCTACCCTCGTTAGTTATAATTTCTACCTGTAACTCTACCCATCTATTTTTATTTTGAGTGTAAATATTTTCTAGTGCTAGCAATTGACAGACACCTCTCGATATTTCGGCCGCTAACGTGCCATGTGTACGCTGTACATAATGCGGTGGGTGTGTGTGTTTGGGCGAGTTCAAGACCACCGCCGACGAAAGGTGAAGGGATATCCCACACCCCCATTCCTTCCCAGTATGTCACTACACAAGTGTTAGATTGTTATTATAATATTATTATATTATGTTTTGCGTCCTGTGTTTTCAATACAAGTTGTCATGACAATCGGTTGTTCGTCTCGGTTTCCACAACTCGGTAGCAAGTGGAGGAGGGTTGATTTCAACAAGTCGATACACTCATGACATGCCGACACGTGTGTCGACTGGCGATCGTTAGAAATGTGAAGTAAATGCCGATAGTTCATAGAAATTTAGTATTGTCAAAAATAATTAGTTTCAGTAAATGGAACACTGAAAAATACACAGCAGTCATACAGATGCGTAAAAACGTGTACCTATTCGTAAAATTACAGTCGTAATATATATATATATATATTTTAAAACGTCTTGGTGTGGAGTAAGATATGGATTTTTAATGAGAATTTTCCGAATCTATACCCCAAATGCAACAAACCTAAACAAATATGTACAAGAAATGGRATTTTGTGAAAATTGCATTTCACAAACGCAATTCTTGACAGGAGATTTTCTTAGTCAATATTATTTTAAACGTAAAATAGGGACAGCACGTCTTGGTGGAACTTTTTCTGTTTGCGAAACAACGATTTATTTCTAAATATATACATATATATTTACATAAAAAGTTACTGGCGTATTTGTCAATCATCCATAGCGAGTTTTCCATCGAGATTTGAGTTCACACACATGTCAAATGTTGATAAAAAATAATAACAAATAGCAATAATTGTAAAAAAAATKCAGAGAAAAGTTTATAAAAATAGAATAGCTGCGAATTGTCACACGGGAACGGAATTTCTATTGAAGTTCAAGCATACACAAACATACACAAAAGATTCTGATCATATTTTACGGATCCGACTAAAATTGAGCAACGCAAAATATAGCGACTTAGTTTGAACTTAGACTTTGGTGGATCGGGTTGAACAATATTAAAAACAATCAGCCCTTATATCATGACGTGCTTTTAAATTGCTTATTTCGGAAATAAAACCTTAACGTTATGTGTATACAACTCGCATGTATAAACATGTATAAACACACARCAATAAGTAATTGCACACATCACGCAATCATAATTCGTATTGAATTCAGATCGTTTAAATAAATAAATTTAATCATTTCAAGAGTTTTTATAACAGAATAATGTATGTATTATTTTCGTTTTCGAAAATAACCACAACAGCCATGTAATTCATAATAWTTATAGTGATGCTATAGGTATACTATATCCCATTCGTATACAAAGGATTAAATACATTTGTTGTCAAGTTTAATCTTTTTATGAAATGAAAACTATAATTTTAATGTTTTTAGAGTTTACTATTAGCCAATTCAAGTACAGTAATTTACTTATAAATTWGTTTTATTTTTTACCTTCTTTGCGTCATTATTGTTGTCCACGTGATTGGTTCCAATCGTGTCTCCGTTGCTAACCGGTCCTCCTTCAACCCCTGGTGATGTGACCATCTCGTCGGAGCCGCGCTGTGAACAGAACGTAAAAATACGAAATGAAAAATACGAAGGATAAAAACTGCATCATACACCGGGCGCCGTGACGACAGAAGATAAAATATATATATATARTGTTCGTTAACCATCGCGCTGACGTCGTTTTCGCAGTCGACCACTTCACTCGTCTGCACAGCAGTAATATTATATACTATTATATACATACATAATATAATGTTCTAATGAAGCGCAATAGTCGTCATTAAAAGAAACGGATAAAAAAAATAGTCGTGTATGGGGTGGACAAGTGGTTACGTGTGTATATAAATACAATACACGCACAAACATCGACATACATACGACACAACATCTATGTACAASAGCACATTGCTTGTTTATGCAGTACCTATATAGTCGTATAGTATATACTCGTATATATTATTTTCATTTTCTGTAAACTATACAATTTTATAGTGCGTGTATTATACATAAATATATATGTATGCAGGTATGTATGTATATTGTATACAGCATATATAATAACCTTTGTGCCGTCCACCTATATAGTCAGGGCATGTTTGAAAAAAAAAAATGAAACGCATTTGTGTGCTAGGCGAGTGTCAAAAGAACTTTTGCAGCAAAAATTCGTGGCGCGGACAGCTCGTTTCGTTCTTCGCCATCAACACAGCGTATTCCGTTTGGACGTTTTAAAAACTAAACTATACACACAATTATAAATATAAATACATATATAATACAACTAGTTGTTTGATATATACACAAATCGCGGTATAACATAATTTTATGGTATTCGTGTTCACACGGAATGATGTAATCACGT